TGAATGCCAAACAAGACATTTTGCTTGGCAGACGGCAAATTTCCAAAAGCACCTGCTAGCAAGAGCAAGGGACGGTATGGAGCACTCCACTAGCTGCCTAAATAACCCCCAAACCCGCTCCTCGGTCCCGCTTCGGCTCTCCAGTTTTGATTTGCTTTTACCTCTGGTGTGATGTGGTCCTGATAACCTGAGCCAGGCAGGTGCTCGGGTACTTCAGTAGCAAGAACCATTTAGATGGATGAACAAGTTATGAAATGTTGATCCAATTCCCCTACGGAAATCACCTGCCAGCAAAATATGGACATCCTTTGAGAACATGAATAGCACCCTGCCTCTTAAGAGCATGATACTGAAATACTTGCACACCACATTTCTTTAGGTGGGGTCTGAGGGACAGAGCCTAAAGCACTACTCATTTGTAGCATCAGCTTTACTTCAGGAGAAAGGAGACACCGGGCTGTGCAAATACCAGCGCAGAAGTTTGCGAAAGCGCATTTTCAGCCTGTGCTTCATATGCAGAAATGCTATACTATTTACTCACTTGGATGATGACTGGGAGACACATTACCATGAACTATTATGGAGATTAATGCCTCAAATTTAGGAATTCATGTCCCAGTTGTTACTCTGAGAAAATAGCTATGGACATAGATGGAAGCTGAGCCCAAGTAACAACTTAAAAATCAGATCTTTGGAGTAGACGTGAAGAAGCCACAGAAACAAAACAAGAGTTTGATACAAAAGCAGCATTAAAAACAAAACCATTTTCACTAGCACAGTATATACATCTTTGCTTAATTGATTATATGTTTTCTTCTTTGGGTAAAAGGGATTCGAGACATGCAAATTCTAGCTTAGGGACAAGTTGCGCAACGTCGCACTTGCTCATGAGTAATCCAATTGACCTCCCTGGGCCGACTCATGTGAGCAAGCGCTCATCACCACCAAGGAGGGTTGCACAATTAGTGGGGTTTTCAGTGCACCTCTCCATCTGCACCACCCTCCTGGACAGCACCACGTCCGCCCTGCTTCAGCACAAGTGTTCCGTCGAGCTTCTCTGGTTGCTACAAAGCTACGCCAAAACACAGAGGAAATGTGTCCTGTGCGAGGAATTAGTTTGATTAGTTCTCTTAGGATTCACATGGTACTTTTTTTTTTAAGATCACAGAAAGAACATTTCAAGGTTACTCCGTGAGAATAATCAATCTTTTAAAACACACAAGTTCTCTAATTACATTTGAAAAAAAAAAAGAAGCCATGTATACTGTGGCAATGAAAAAGCTACTAAAGTCAGCACAACTGAGCCCTTAAATTTGCCTTTTCACCAGGTTGCAGACAATTTGGACTGTGAACAGTAAAAAAAAAGGGGGGGGGGGGGGGGACGGGGACAAAATAAACCCCCCCAAAACACACCACAAAACCTCTTCCTTTGCCAGAGCTTGGTATTTCTCTTGTTTTCAGAAATCTAAGAGAGTTTTACAGTGTCATTTATTTCTCCCTCACAGGTTTTATCTTTTCAGAACATTATCTAAGGTCAAGGCCCTGGTTTACTTTAAGTCCAAACCAAAGGTCAAACAGCAAAGCAGCCGAGAGGCTGCATACCTCTCTCAGTGCCTACCTTTGCCAGGAACCTCCCTCCCTCTCTCCTTCCCCCCCCGGCCCCGTTCCCCTTTCTTCACCCCCCTCACCCCTCCAACCTGCCCTAAGAAAACACAGTCAAGGCCATTACAGGCCTTGAAGGATTCAAGCTGGGCTGAAGGGGAGAATAATACATGTATCCAAAGGGAGAAAGAACTTTTTTTACGCATATTGCTGACTTGCATTTCAGGTGTACTTCATTCAACAATCCACATACCAACAGAAATTTAAAGAAATTGTATCTTGCATTCTCCTCAATTTCCATTTTCAATAAATACTCCCAGAAGGCTGTTTACACAGAATACAAACTGAAAGAAAACCAGTTGAACTAATTTCGTTTGGCTATAAATCACTTTTATGGAGGTAGACAATTGCTATGAATGCCATTCAAGAAGCTGCTATTGGACTTTTTCAGATTGCATAATGTTGAAACCATCAACGTTTAGAAATTTGCTTTTATTTTTTAGATCAGATCATTCCTTTAAGCAAGACAATCAATTCTCAACAGCACCAGTGGCACCACAAAGCAGCATGTTAAGCAGGCACACAAACACATTTTACGTGTAACATTCATCTCAAAGCTGATCTCTCTCTTTTATATGTGCCGCAGCACAAATGGTTTCGAAGTCTCCATCCACAAACTTTTGAACGTACCGTTTTCCAACAGGGACTTGTTCTCCTAAGTCTTGCTATCACTTTTAAGAGATTAATTATTTTACACAGTTACAAACTATTCTAATGCTGATGACTGACATGTATCTGTCTAGATCTAAGCTTCTGGTCTCAACAGTTCAAGTATTTCAAACTTTGTGTTTAAACCTCTACGGTCACTTCCAGCAGGAGCAGCTAAAATCTCAGTTGCCGCTTACACATCCTCTATCTCCACCTTTCTTTTTGCACCTGCAGAAAATGCAGGTGCCAATAATGTATCAAATCTCTTCCTCATCCCTCTGCAGAAAGTACCCAGCAGGACACAAATGCAATGCCTTTTTTTCCTATACAGTGCTGTTTCTCACCCCTCTCCAGTATGGTGTGATCCTTACAAAAACCTCAATAATAATTTCCAGAGTAGCCCTCGTTACCCACAGGATGGCTTATTTCTGTTACTGCAGAGAGAAAACAGGCACAGAAAGCTTAGGTTACATGTTCGTAGTTGACTAATGCCACCTTGAAATATGGGAACACTACATGCTTCCCGGACCAAAGCAGGGCATCGCACAACAGCTCCATTTCCTAATATTAAGCTTGTTAGTTTGTGGTCTTCCTCTGCTGCAAAACAGTTATGATTTTAATTTACAATTTTTATAGCTGTCCCCTCATTTTTATTTGGAGAAATGGGGGAGTAAAAAAAAAAAGATATATTAAATGAGTCAGTCACAACCTCTAAGCAAGTCAATGTCAGAATCGAAATTATTCCAGGTCTACAGACTTCTATGACTAGGTCTAATCCATAGCACTGCACAGATTCAAGCAAATCATCTAACCTATTTTTGTCAAACTTTGTTCCTAATGGAAATCCTGCAAGTCTTTAACCTACTTCAATCATCATTCCTCCCTCCTTTAAAGTAGAAAAAAGTAGTTTGAGACAGTAAGGTAAAACTGAATTATTGCACTCTCTCAACATAACCAAAATTCTCTAATGCCCTTTCAGAAGTATTTATGGGTCAGAAATCTTCCATGGAAAACACGACCCTCTAAACAAACAAAATCTAAATTTCCTATGCACAATAATGCATACTTATGGATTGTAAAAAAAAAAATAATTAAAAAAAAATCAATTTTGTGTTCAGAAATAACTCATCCTTAAAAGGAAAGCTAACACACATCACAAAGGAGTTTTACAAGAATTAATGATTAACAGAAAGTTTAAATCTCTACTTGCCTATCAATGCCCATATCCAGCTTCACTTCCATTTGTTCTATGATATCCTTTTTCTTCTGAAGGCATTCAGATAATTTAGGAGAAGAACTGCAACAGTATAAAGGGTTGGGTGTGTGACAGAGTGTTAAAATATCAAAACAAATTTCTCTGCTGGGTCTGCTACTTACAACCGGATTTTGTGAACATTTCCCACCCCATCAGAAAGGGCTAGTTTAGATGGAGTTAGCCGCCTTCAGAACAACAAATCAACAGCCTGAACAGCCACCTGAGCCCGGGCAGGACTTGCTGAGTGCTGACGGGCAGGTCTGTAATACACTTCAGGCAGTACCGTGGCTGCTGAGCAGTGCCTCTTCTCAGCTGCTGCCAGCCCCGGCAGGTGAGCGAGCAAAACCAGCTTTTTGCGTGCACTAATTCACAGCACATCAGCGCGCTCTACCTCGAGTGTGTTCAACCCGTGGCTCCCAACAACGTGCAGCTTTCATGCAGTTCGCATGTGGCTCCCAAGGCATGGCCAGCTGCTCCCTCTGCAGAGCCTGCGAGGTACCCCAGGAATCTCAGCAGCCCTGATGTTGCCAGCTCAACCCCAGGTGCAGCCACAAACCCCCTGCAGTCCCGGCCTGTAATGCAGCAGTGAGGTCTCCAAGGAGCAACTTGTCTCTCCTTCCTATCAACAGTCTTGGAGCCCCCTCTCTCCCATTAGTTCTCCAAGGTACCGACTTGTTTAACTTCCCTTCTTCCCCCTCTCATTACAGCATTTTATCTTCCCACAACATCTAGCTGAACAGCTCCAACAATAAACTCCTCCTAACAGAGATGAAGAATGAAAAAAATTGCTTTCTTCACCAAAAATGACCATTCATAAAGGAAACGCTAATCAAAATAAGGTACCTGATCAATGGCATCAGATGATCATTGAACTGCTTGTCAAATAAATGGAAAATAGTATTGGCCTGGTGGACAACATCCAAGAAATAAAGATTTGCATTCTTTGAATCAGAAGAGGGAATGCCTAAAGCAAGGAAGGTTTCATTAGGATTGTAATGATACGCAGTTCTTATAATAGCATGATGATTTTTTAAACATGCAGAATTTTTCCATGAATGCTTAAATCACAGGCTTAGAGTTTCAAAAATTTACCATGGTGCCATATAGCTATGGGAAGTATTCTATATATCAGGTAATAACCATAAGCACAGACATATCTTGCTTTTAAAATTTCTAAAAGCAAAATGGAACAGCCAATTTAAATATTTCTTCAGAACACAAGTTTTGTGCTTTCATGTAGGAAAGACAGGTTCTCACTGTCGAGATTTTAACTTCTTTAATATAAGCAATTGTCTTATTTACTGTCACTCTTTAAAACACATAGGTACACAAACAAGCATGGAATTCTTGTAAAACGTAAGACACTAAGCCTTAATATAAAAATATTTTTCTGCTACGGCACAGAGAACAATTGAAAGAGGTAGGGAGTGCTGATGTCCCAATTTCCGACACAAACGTTTTTGAAGACAGTGGCATGTTTCCATCTGTGCATCAATTCCCCAAATGGAAGCTACACCTCAGAAGACATTAAATGCAGACTCCCAAATACACAAAACGGATTTCATTTAACCAATACATTCTGAACAAGGCCAATGAATAAGGCACAGCAAGGACCTGCAAAGATCGTCTGCCCAAAAAGGCCAATGAGATGAAATTCTCAGAAAATATTATACTCACCAGCAAGGCCTGTTTCTAATGCATAATCGATGTGTTCAGTACATAAGAACTCTACAAGCATAGCAAAAATTCTGAAAGCATTCTTCGGTAAGTCAGATGGATCAGAGAGCTTTAAAGAAAAAAAAATTTATCCTAAAGGTCAGTTCTACATATAAGCTTAAGATGTAACAAGTATTCCAGAATAATTGGAATTTTATTCTAAATTAAAAGTATTCATACAGAGAACTATCCAGGAACAGCCTTTAGTATCAATAAACCCTTCAGCATTAACAAGTAAACTGACGCCAACACGCCACAGGATGCTACAGAAAGCAAAAGTATAAACAGTTTCTAATAATAATAATAGTAATAATAAAGGAAGATATTAACTAATAGTCCTTAAAACACAATTGTCCAGATGTAATCTCAGAAATTACCTAAACTGCATACCGCTGGGCGCTGGGAAAATCTACACAAAAGAGATGACTCTATCCATGCCCTGCCTTTTTTCTTTTTACTAAGCTTCTGCCACTGGCCATAGTCACAGGCAGGACACTGGGTTAGATGGACCTCCAGTTTCACCCAGCGCAGCTGTTCTTTTATCACTGCCACAGCACTGCAGAAAAATAATACAGACTGAACTTCAGCTACATTTATCACAGTTCAGCTGGAGTCAACAGAGCATGAACATTTTTATTAAGTGAAGTAAGGCCCCACATATACGCACAGCATCTGTACCTTCATGAGCTGTAAGGAACATGGGATTTTGGACGGCAACCTGTCAGTAAATCCCTTTTCCAAAGAAAAATGCGCCAGGGCTTTTGCACATAAGAAATATGGCTTTGTTTTTTAAGGAATTATGTGAAGACTTTATGAAGCTGGGAGTAAGAAATATTACTATTGCAATTCAAGTTAATTTATGTAACAACACTCCCAAAGATTTCTGCTGTATTCCCCCCAAAAAAAACAAAACAAAACCCCCAACAACAAAACACCATTACAGAAATTTCCAAACACCAAAATGTTGCAATATACGGTTACATTCAGAATTACCAACTTATTTTTCCTAAAGCAGTCACAGTTGGGACACACAGCGTATCTGCATGCATCTGCCATGTGATATAAATATCACAATTAGTTAGCCAGGGACATATTTAACTTCTTTTTCGCATAGCGAGTTGCCCTGACCACAAACAAAACCGTAGCAACATGTATGGTAACGGAGATGTTATACACCTGTAATTCTAAAAATCTCCTTATATGCCGAGATCCATCTAGCATTGATTTCCACCCCAATACATACAATTGTTTTCAGACCAAGTATGAAGAATTCTGTTCCCAACAGGGAAAGAAAAAGGGGGGGAAAAAAAAAAGTTGTTGTGCACAATTGGAAAAAGTTAGTTTATGTCATGAACTTAACAACCGTTTCTAGCAACTACCATACTGAGAAAAATAACGATCTACCTGCTTGCCTTGCAGTCACTGACTTTCACTACTAGAATCATAGAATCATTAAGGCTGGAAAAGACCTCTAAGATCATTGAGTCCAACCGTCAACCCAACACCACCATGCCCACTAAACCATGTCCCCAAGCGCCTCATCTACCCGTCTTTTAAATACCTCCAGGGATGGGGACTCAACCACTGCCCTGGGCAGCCTGTTCCAATGTTTAACCACTCTTTCAGTAAAGACATTTTTCCTCATGCCCACTAGGAAGGTGGTCATCTCAGTGTGTACAGGTAACAGTGCCGTATCTGTATTTTGTTACACCTTTGGCCCCTCTAAGTTTATAAAATATTAAAACTTCTAAATATCTAAAATGTTAAGTTTTTCTGCAACAAGCCAATTTAGAATGTTAAAGGCATTAAAATTTATTAGAAATCAGTGAAGTTAGCTAATAAAAAAATCCCTACCATTTAAGTTTGCAATTAAATTTCAAGGGTTTTCATTTACACTGAAGTATCAGACGAACAGTAAGTGACAGGCAGTAAAACCAGCGATTTAATCAGAAGGAAAACACCTTTTTTTGTTAGACTAAAGCATTTAAAGAACAGTAGAGTGTTACCAAGGTAAACCACATTAAGATTATCCCTCTCAGCATTTTCTTGGTGATATTCTCTAATACTAGAAGAAATGGTACTTGATACAGGAAAACAACTGTTGAACTTCTCTACGTTTTTAAAGCAGGACAAAAAAATTACATTAAAGGCTTCTCAAGTCTTGGGTCTAATTTAGTAAGAAAAGCAATGCAGACAATAGGTTTAACCCTCCCCACTTCTTCCAAAAATAGACAGTATTAAAAACCAGAAAATACAACTAGATCCACATTTGAAATCAAACCCTTAGCCTCCACCATGACCCCGATTCAGTGAAAAATACAAAAGAGAATTGATTTGTTTAATAATGTCCTTCCTATCACACTTCGACTGAAAATTGAACCTCAAGATTTAATTTCACGCACAAAATTATATCATTAATGGAGATCACAGGAAGCAAACTTACCCTGTGACATCTTTCAAACGCTTGTTTCGTTTCTTGCAAAAGGTTAACCACCACTTCTTGCGACAGAAAAGTTTCTCCGTGTGTGTCAATACTTGGCCCCAACGGTAAGTTTGTACGTTGCCTTATTCTCTCTTTCAGGTCTTGAATACTAGAACAAAGATATACCAAAAGAAGATTTCAATGGATGGAAATTTTGATGCTGAAATTCAACAATGATTTAGGGTATTTTAGTTGTTAACTTAAAAAACGGAACCCAAGACACAGTTTAGGATATGCAAGCATTAAGACAGTTCTGCAAGCTTAAAACAAATTGCCAGTAAATGCAAAACTACCACCTCTGATCCCATGGTCAACTGCGTTCTACCACGGCACGTTCTCACCATGGGACCAGCTATTCCCCATTGTGGAATAAGAGTAATTTCAATTGAATCCTATGGCACTTATGCTCTGTGGACAAAGCTTAGCCTCCATACCTTCTGTCCCATCGTACTTCCAAAACACTAATGAGAGCTTTCTATCTCATCCACACCCACAAATCCTCTCATCCTCATCCACTACCTCAGCAGTCCTGATTTAGTCAAGCATGCTCCAACACATTACCATGCATAAAACAACCCATAAAGTCAGTCACTACAATCAATTTAATTTTCCCCAAGAAAATTAAATTTTCATGTTTTTTAATTCATTTAATTACTTTGCTGCTGCTGTTCTCTCCAAATCACTTTTCATTCCTGACACACTGAACCCAGTAGCTCCTTGAAAGGTGCAGTAGTCTTATCACCTCTGCTTCACACAAGTTTTAATTCTTCCTTTCCCACTTCTCACTACTCCTTTATTAGAGTTTCTCTACCCTGAGGATAATGAAGTCTTGTTTTACCTTTCTCTAAGTCCATTGCATCTTCTGGGCTCATTAAGAGCTTTCTCACTGACATTGCTATGGTCTTTTCCCCTTCCTAGGTCTTGGGAGGGGACCACAAGACCTGGGCAGGTGAAAAAAAATGTATGCTTTTAGATACACACATATACATGCTTTAGGTACCTTAATTTTGCTTCAGTCCTTTTGTGGATCTGGATCCTAAGTTGAAACATAGGTTTAACTGGTATTTTTCATTTCCCATGAGCGTATAAATACCATGCATGCCCTTTCACATGTACCGAGAGCAATACACTTTTTAGCAGAAGTTAACATAAAGTGACAGCAAATTATAAAAAGCCGTAGGTCATTTTAGAAGCCTGCTCTTTTGCAGTTCATCACTGTACTTCTGACATGGCAAAGACTATGTCTCTCCCCTTACCGCCTCCCTTCCATTTTAAAACTACAAAACTTCACAGAAGAAACTTACCCTCCGGTGCCAATGGATCTCTTCTGGTGGTTTTTGGAATCATAATAGCGTTGCAGAATCATAGCACTCCTACTTTTCAAATAACCAATTTCCACCTCAATGTAATTCTCCAAGTAGGAAATGAAAATGGATTTGATAAGCTTAGACAAGAAAGTCTGCTTATCAGTACCCAAGTTAAATTCCATCAATTTGCTTGACAGATTAGTAGTTCTTTATGCAAAAGAAACAAAGAAGGGGAGAGAAGGAAAAGGTTGAATTTGTATGAATTACAGCATTACAAGTTTGTAAAGTACATAGCACAACGGAATCCTGATTGCGATTAAGACTTCTAGCAGCTTTACATTTAAGTAAAGAATTTCGCATAATTCATGTTTAATTACATACAGTACAATTGCAATCAAGTAAGTCGCCAGTGAGATGCAGAGGACTGGCTTTTGCACAGTTTTAAAATTACTCTCGAAGATCACTATACTAAATACTTCCCATTAAAAATAATAATGGCAATTTAAAATTTTCTTTAGGAAAGCAATCACTGTAAAGGTTAATGGCCATGAAAAATTTTTCAATTTTTATGAGAAGTTTACATTTTTGGCTTCTCTTTCTACATCTTGATAATAAATCAACCTATTACAAGAGAATAACTACAACAATAATTTCATCATCAATATATAAGTACCTTGTATATAGATCATAGAGATTCTTAAGATACTGTTCTGCATCTGATTTCCTGTGTTCTTCTAGCTGGTCCTTTACATAACTCTGTAAAATTTGGGTACATCTGTTAGAAGAATAACTATCAGCCACAGGTCCGACTCACTACTTGCTAGATTATACGTAGTTTACTGCAAAGTGTATATCTTACTTAAGGTAATTAATATATTCTTCGTTTTTAAATCTCTAATTTGCAGATCTCGCTTTACCTACAGATAGAGTTAAATGCATCTTTTAGAAGAAAATTATTTAATAATACAAAGCAGTAGCGTGTGAAGCAAAGACAAAAGACAGATTGCTTTGAAAATACACTTGACCAACAAACACAAAATCCCCTCTTTTTAAGAATAAAAAGCACTGGAGGCCTAGGGGCGTTTCTGCAGTTGACAGTAAGCAAAGGAGATGCTTACATATTTGCTTATCATAATACATACACAAAGCAGATACAAGCTTAGAGCCTTCTTGTCATTGAATATTTGGATAAAAATATTATTTACCATAAAATAGTAAGTCAAAACTGACACACAAATTTGGGGTTGAAAGACAAGCTCAATCTTTACACTATAAGGAGAATAACATCTACTGGGAAATTGCTTTTGGCAACTAATAGTCATCTTGTTGACTTCATACACTTAAGGGAATCATAGAATCATTTAGGTTGGAAAAGACCCTGAAGATCATCAAGTCCAACTGTTAGACCTAACACTGCCAACTCCACCACGAAACCACGTCCCTAAACACCACATCTACACGTCTTTTAAATACCTCCAGGGATGGTGATTCAACCGCGTCCCTGGGCAGCCTGTTCCAACTCTTGACAACCCTTGCGGTGAGGAAATTTCTCCTAATATCCAATCTAAACCTCCCCTGGTGCAACTTGAGGCCGTTGCCTCTCATCCTATCGCTTGTTACTTGGGAAAACAGACCAGCACCCACCTCGCTACAACCTCCTTTCAGGGAGTTGTAGAGAGTGACAAGGTCTCCCCTGAGCCTCCTTTTCTTCAGGCTAAACAACCCCAGTTCCCTCAGCTGCTCCTCAGAAGACTTGTGCTCTAGACCCTTCACCAGCTTCGTTGCCCTTCTTTGGATGCACAGGATGGAAAACTTAGTATTTTCAACTATTCCAGACTTTCATATAAACATTGCATTAGCTGCAAGACAGTATTCACAACGTAAGTTATTTTTGCTTATTCAATGCTAACCTCACACATGAAACCCAACTCTAAGAATGAACAGATTAAAGATTCTTATTAAATATGAAACTTCTTTTCCTGACGTATTCTTGGTAGGGGGGCTACAGAAGAAATCAAATATGCAATGACATCTTGTGAATTAGCTAATGAACACACTGATTCCCTTATAATTTTACATATTGAATTTGAGTATTTTCAGTTGCACTGTATTCAGAGTACAAGCAGCTTTATTTGATATAGGCTTGATTATCTGTCTGAATTGTTAATGAGCAATCAGCTGTGATTCTACATCTTTATACAAGATTACAAATCTTGTAAATTCTCATTAATTGTTATTACTAGATATAATATTTTTGGATGAAAAGTTTCCTCAATGAACTTCAGCATGTTAAAATTTGAAATACCTGAAGTTTAACTTCAAAGATATTTTGAATGAGTTTGGCTAGCACAGTCTCTGGATTGCTAAAGACTTCTCCAACTTGCTTATTCACTCGCTGGCAGAGAATGGCTGCATCTTCAAAGACGTCATTCCTCAGGAATGCACCCTAGGGTTTTAGAAGCACATTTTGTAATATATCTACAACAATCTATATGACTAAATAAATCAACACCCAAAGAAATACATGTAAAACAAAATGCATTACCTCTTGACACTGTTTTATGTACACATCAACGCAATGGGAATAGCCCTATGGAAGGAGCAAAACAATGTTAAAGCAGGTTCTGCATGCTTTCAGTATAGAATGAAATCAAGGAAATACAACCCCTGTGAAAAAGTTATCGCAAAAAAAAAAAAAGATTCATCGGAAGTGTACTCTTTCAAATCCATTTTTGTCACAAACTTAATGTAACGTCACTTATCACCACACACATACAAGAAAAGATTATCTTAGAATGGTCTCTACTGACACTGCCTCCGATCCCCCATCATCTGCCTCTTTTATTCCCTTGCATTTGATTTTGGATGGAACAACTCACTATTTTTGAAGTTATACGTGTTATCTGATATGGTGGTTGTGCCCATGCAAATGCGTTCACTTAAAACAGGCAGTTATTGTATCGTAGGTTGTTTTATTTACGTATTTAAACTAAAACCCTCGGTTTTTACCTTAAAATGAAGCAAAACTGCTGCTACTTCTCTCATTCTGGAGATTTCGCCTCTCCGCTGTGCACTGGTAAACTCTTGAATTAGCTGGCACTCTAAATCATGGTACTTACCTGGAGAGGAAAGGGGATAAGCACAAAAATCCATCAGGCTACGTAACACAAGCACTGACAAAAACTGTAATACTGACAGTATTGCATACTTGTTTAATCATCTTTAACAATTCAAATATAGGAATATGGATTGAACTGGATAGATAACTTACTTGCTATCTTTGATTTTACTTCAGAAAACCTGTTAACAACAAAAATACCGTGATTAAATTCAAATCCACATCACAAGAGAAATCACAGACATCACAGATCATCACTCGACTTAAAAATAAAAACATGTAACACAAAGACAACAGAAAAGTTACACGCTTTATATCCATAAAAACCTACAAGCATCTAATTCAAATCTAGCATTAAGTCAGCACAGCAAAATTATCCCATTAAAAGTCTGTTAAGCAGTTTAGGATGTGTACGTAAAGATGATCCTACAACATGAGCGTGTGAACACAAATTTGAGAATAGAGGAGAGAGAAATAAGATCACAATCCATCTCAAAAGGTACATGAATCACTAAGTAAAGCACCAAAAAAGTAGACAAGGGAAGCATCAGAAAATTACAGCTATGTGAAGATTTAAAAAAAAAGATGTTCGGATAGAATTTTACCTGTCAAAAGGCAGTTCCTGTGCAATCAAATGCAGTTTCTGAATAATATCAGCTGCCTCTTTAATCTGTTAAGAGTAAAACATGACAGAATTATTAAAGAAGGTCTGATTGTGGGCTATTCCTTTCCTCCCCTCCACTGTCCAATTTTCACACATGTAGTTCCCATTTCTAAAGCTGGTTGAGTTGATATACCCGTGGAAGAGATCACCCTTTTAAAGTTCCTGTATGTACTTTTACGATGCTTAAGGGTTTGGGTTTTTTTGAAACATAAAATTATATAGGTCAAAACATGATAAAAAGTCTTTTATTATATGTTCACATTGGGCATGTCTACGTAGGTGTCTAAGCTACCTGGACAAATAGCTCATCACTGCACTATGCCAACATAGCTATACAGCTATACAGACCAAAGATTCCTCAGGCCTGATTAGATCAGAATGTGGCTAGAGCAATCTCATGAAAATTTGCACCCTCCCATTTCGGAATAAAATATATAGCTGTAACACAGAGCTGGCTGAACTGCAACATTATACTTTACAAGGGATTAGGATAAAAGTCTTACTGAATCACACCCAACCAGAAGAGATCTCTGTTGAACTCAGAAGTGAAATGGCTAGCAACCCTTTCAGACACATCAGGAAAAGCACTGGGGAATTCTTTGCAATTGATGCAATTAGCTGTATAGCTGTAACCAAAAAAGCCATGACAATGCTCGCACGGAGAGGGGAGGAAGGGGAAAAAGGGGATCAAAGCAGAGCATAGTTGGAGTACCTCACATTCTCCCAAGGAAGGAGAAATGGGAGCTGTATGAGAAATTATAAACTCCGAGGTCCAAAGCAAAGATCAAGATGAAAGTTAGTTAATCATGCACCTACAAAACATGAATAGTTGCACGAATACAAGAGCTAACAAATAAAGTTAACACAGCATCCAAATTTCTGCTCTGTCCTGGACAGCAAAACCTTTTATCATTTATTCTTCTGCGATCAATCAGCATGGGAAGTGCACCTACTTAGCGCTTAGTGACTGCTTCACTAGGCTGACTAAAACTATAGAAAACACCAATTTGAAAACGTGGGGAACGCAGCTGATTGCAACTGAAGTTCAGTGGATTTAAGCAGACAGTGCTGACTGGCCCAAACCGGACACAGCTCTGGGATGGTTTTACAGGCTTTATTATGCCGTCTTGGTGACTGGAAGGCACCTCGAAGGGGGCGATGAAAGCTCCAGCTACTGTGTTCAAGCAAAACCTTTATAAATTGACACAACGGAGAACATGGAGAACATGCAGTTTATCTTACTCTTCCTGCTAGTCATGTTCCAGGGAACTGGAGTGAGAGGAAAGAAGTAATGAAATCCTATTCTCCCACCACTTAGAGCAGGTTGGGATTAAAACTTTTCAAGAATAGAACAAGACACACAGGTAAGAGTACAGGGAACAGGCATCACGCTAGGTAGGTTGTTCAGCAAAACTAGGGGCTCTCATATCTCTCATATCCATTCTGTTTATTAAGAGCAGCTTATGTTTTGAACTGTCAGCTTACAATAGCCTCTTAAGTCAAAAGCAGCTACGCTCCTCAAATAAATCCAATGAAACAGCAGTTATTTCTACTAGCTTAGAGCAACCTTAATACCTAACAATCGTGATCAATACTGATGTCATTAGAATAATCTATAGATCAGCAGTTTTTCACCGCTGTTACAAAAAAAAGAACAGAACACCCCACAAACGCAACATTTTCTTTGTCTCCTCTTCACACAATAGCTGTTAACTAACTTAGATTTGATTGAATTCAGGGCCTTTTCTTATGCACAACGGAAGCCGTGACAGATCAATTCTCCATGGTTTCTGCTTAAATCTGGACATATTTCATTTTTAATTGAATCAGGCTCCTGTAAACTATTAAGCCAAAATAAATACAGATTCTGTAAAACACAACTTAAAGGCTATAACGTATCTAGAAAAAAAAATCTGAAAAATCTTGGACAAATAATGGCAAGAGAGAATTTTAACACAAAATATTTTTACGAACAAGTTAAAAGGCATAATGGAATAATGTTGAGTACAGAACATAAATGGAGAAAAGGATGTAAGAATAATAGTAAACACATTAAACATGGGACAATGCTATTGCACTGTGAGCTGCTAGATCATTTTGATAGTTTAATTGTTTTAACTAGAGTGATTTGCTCACTTCAAGACTTCAGTACAGGAGAGGGACTGGTTAGCTGGCAGTGCAAGGGAAATTATAAGGATTCAGAGGATGACGACACACAATATGTAACATGGGACAAGACAGCAAGGAAAAACCTTCACAGGGACAGTAAGATAGAAATTGCTCAGTACGGCTAGGAGAAAGTAATGTAGGAAGCAACAACTTGAGTGGAGGGAAAAAAAGGAATCCAACAGATTTTAAGAACTGATACTACTGTGAAAAATATGAATTCCCTAGGAAATAACTGCATTATAATTCTTTTCCTGCCTCTCCTTTCACAGTATCCCCTGCCCTCAACATCTCAAAGAAAAACCCACGTTTGTGAGGGATGGCACAGTACAAAAAAACATAACATCCAAAACACTACCTAAAATCCACATCAGTTCGAAGATCAGAAGACACTGACAAAGCATTAAGGTTTTACATGTAAGAATATTATTTGTTACTATCTCATACTTTAGAACTATTTTTAGTTCAAAGATGCCTTAAGATGTGATAGCACATGTCTAGGCAGGTTCCTTTATAAACACTACTTCTACTTACTATTTAAACTGGGAGGCAAAAAGTTACAGAACAGCACTAACCCACCTTGACTGAAATTAGTCTCAGTAAGGTAACTTGTATGCAGAAAATCTCGTCTGTGTTCCCATACACTTCCCCTGCAGACTGGGACAAGACTTCTGGCCTTTACTACTTTTTTCTTTCTCCAGATTTGCTGAATATCTTATTCTTCTTCTTCAGGGTGTATAAAGATTAATTTGTTTACCAATTTCCAGGTTTACCCTATTTATCTACCATTTTTTTCAGATCCTCCAACAGAAAGTATTATGAAACTAAGTTATAAGTAAACTGAAAGTTGAATTCTATATGAGACTCTTCAGCAGACAACACATAGTTCTCTAACTTATGCTTTATTATTTACCGTGTTGCCATTAAATATTTTTAAAACGCATGTTTTATTTCTACTTAGGGGGAAAAAAAAAAAAAAAGAAAAAAGCTGATGCAGATCTGGAAAAGCCTGTCCATAGACGAACTTTCGTTACGTTGAAACCTTTCTGTTTTCCTAGGAAGTCAGAGAAGTTTTTATGTGCTCCCTCTTTGATTAGGGCAAAATATCAACTGGTAATTACCATATATCCACAGACCATGAATCAAAAGTCACTACGCAACTGACTTCTTGGGAATACAACCATATGAAATGATTAGTTTCTCATTTTTCTGAGAGATACCTTCAGCTCAGTAGAGAGGGGACGACTATTAACCTTGGGTCCTTTGAGAGCTGCATTTCAAGCACGTATTTTTTGCTGAACGTGCAAACCAAGTTTTTGCTGTTCCCACATACTGTAATTTTTTCCTGACTACAGTCATACCACTGCACAAAATTTAAGGGGAGCAGGAAGATTCTTCAGGACACACCTCAAAAAAAACCCCCAAACCAACAACTTTACTTATCTTACAAAGTGCATAGGGAAGTCTAATATGTGCCCTTTCGCTGACAGCTGGACACTTTTCCTTCAGTTTATTTCTGTTAGCCACACCATTCAGATTACATTTGCTTCATGAACATACTCTTGAAGCATAAGAAAAACAAAATGCTTTAACATTTCTTTGAAGTTTTCCTGCCCGGTTCCTCTAAATTCAGAGGGTGGAGACATAACCACAGGACTATACAAAGCCCAAAGGCATGCTGTGACAAAAAGGTATCCAAGGCCAGTGGACTGACCCAACAGAGTAAAGTTTCACAAAGACGTTGTATTCAGAAACACTCTGCATTACAGGGTGGATCTGAGGCAAGGGGTTCAAAGGAAAAAGGCAGATATTGTATGCGCTCTAAAGTTGCCCTCCCAGCATTTCTCAAATCTCTGATAATTTCATAAAATGAAAAATGCCAACATTGCCACATTAAGCATCACTGAATACAAATGCTTTATCAGCAATCTGCAGCCTAGTGTTGTTAATTTACATTTCAGAACAATGAAACTTTAACAAGTCAGTCACTCACTGGTTTGAAGTCTGACCATGGTAAGTCATGGTAGCAGCTTGTAATTAGGGCAGTACTGCTTATTGCTTTGAACTGCTTTCATCCCGCTGACAGCTCTTACCTTTTCAGAGTTTGTAAAAACATCAGACTTCAGCTCTCCATCCAGAAACTCATTAAAGTATTTCATCAGCTTCTGAGCCTCCACAGCCCGTTGCCGTGGCGTGTTTACCCCCTCCAGTTGGTCGCCAAGGTGACAGACCTTAGTTGCTACGTAGCTGATGTGCTCATCTAGTTCTTGGAAATGTTGGAAGGCAACCTGGGAGAACATAGACACGGACACAAAACGCATGATTTCCATTTACTGTGCTTTAGGAAACACTAGATTTACTTCAGCAAGAAGCATAGTGAGTGCAGGCGTCAGCTTTCCAGGTGCTGTATCTCAGAACGACAGAACTACTCAGAACCACTAATTAAGTACACACAACTGCTTAAAGTTTAGTGTCTTCCTTTAAACTATTGTGAAGACTCGCTACTTTCAGAATAGCTAACACTCATTAATGGAACATGCAGATAAGCCCCCTTTGACAGGGGAAATTGTTTTCCATCAAACCCTCTTTATTCTTCTCTCAAATAGTAGCATGCTGTACCAAGAAATGTTAATGGAGCATGTGATGCTTTTAAAACTTGCACAGCTTAGCTCTTCAGATTTTACCTGGTTGCTTTTCTGCAGCTCTTGTACTTTCTTGGCAAATTCCTTTGCTTCCTTCTGGCATTGCTGTTCTAGTTTCTCCACCTTTCTCTGAATCCTTTCGTCCATTACCTGTAATTCTTGGATATGATTTACAAATTCTTCCAATAATCTGATTTAAAATAAAATACAGGAAAGCAGACTTTAGTTTGAAAGACATTGTCTTCTGCAGAGAGCTTAAAAAACCTCAAAGAGAAGAACTTGCCTACAAGGCTGATACAATCAAGTCTAACTTACAAATGCTATTTTGTTTTAAACTACGTTGCCCTAGTTGTGTAGAACAATATGCCTATGTGATCACATAAAAGGTAGGCCAGGGGAGAGGGGAATACCTAAATACCAACCACTCAAGAACGTGGCTCTGCCACAGGTACAAAAATCCCTATAATCCCATCTTCCCTAAATAAGTCTCATAAGGACAAAGAGAGCTTAGACCACTACAGCCCTTCAAGATAAGGGCTATAACAGGAAAATATTTTCTGCTGTACATTTTACTGTAAACTTTTAAATCAGCATCCTATTAATAGGCAATGGATACAATCATATAGTCTCATAAGGTTGTTTTGGTTAGAACCATGTTGCTTCCTGACTTCATTTCTTTTCTTCCTATAACATACACCATTTTAATTTTTTTTTTCCTGCCCTTTCCCATCACTTTGATTTTTCTTTCCGACTCACATTTTACTCTTCACAAACACAGTACATCTGAATGCATTCTTAAATTTCCTCTATTCTTTTTCATTCCATTCTCAATGTCTCTTTCTTTCTTTCTCACTCCTGTTTTTGTCCATTCTGTCCCATTCCAGTCATCTTTTCAGCTTATACTTTTCTAAACATCCCAGTCACTGATGCTTAGGGAACGGATTATTCCCAGATCCTCCATACCCATAAAACTCATTCTCATAACTGAAAACATATGAAAGATTTGAGAACTCTGCTCTCCAGGTTTAATGTCAAAGCAGAAGAGGAAACGGGAATCCATTCCAGGGAGCTATTTCTAGACTACTCAGGAATCTGCATTTTCACATATACTCTTGTTCAGAAGGTATACTGTGAATGCAAAGCCCTTCTAACCTACAGTGCTGCTGAAAGACAGAATGAGCACGCTGTTCCTCTCCTGGCTCCCCATGCACAGGCTAGAGACTCTCAGCAACCAGAAGGGAAAAGTAGAACGTATTATTCTACCCTCACACGACTCCTTCCCAGTAACAACCATAGTACCTCTCTTGGCCAACATCTAGAGCTTTCTCCGAGCAACACCTAAATGATACTAATGTGACTCTCTTTAGTTGCATGGAGGGTCATCGAATTTTCAGCTTTAACTTCTGCTGTTAAAATGACTGGCTTTTACCCTGCTGCTTGGAGCATGCAAACTGCCTTTTTGCTCACTGTATTGGTCTAAAAACCTATTTCAAGTGGTATCTTTACAACAGTAAGTGACTTAAAGGCACAACTTATTAAAGAAAACTGGATTGGGACAGATGTTTATGACTTCTTTCCTCCACTTCCTGCTTGCCAGAAGCCCAAGAGTAAGCATGTTGCATTAGATTCCAGAGAAAACCACGAGGAACAGACTGAAGTTTACAGAAGTATTTTTAAAATAAAATTTAAACAATAGTTAAGTGACACAAAGCATACTTTCAAACAAAAGCCTGGAGAAGTGCAGATAGCTTCTATTCATTTTAACAAACTGATTCAGTTCGGTTTGGCGGTTGTTTTTTAAACAGGTATTGTACCAACTCAGCATTTATTCAGCAAAAGTATTCAATATAGTGAGAGAGGAAAGAATGCTCAAGTAGGAGAGGCAGCTGCTGCCGGTCAGGTTTCTCAGAATGGAAATAAAGAATCCAACATTCTTTCTACCAAACAAAAGCATCATCTTCTAAAAACACAAAAGAAAAAACATACACCAAAAGGCCTGTTTCTTTTTGATATTAATTTTGGCTCCCTGCCCAATACTAGAATATCCCACAAGAAAAATATTTACTGTTGCAGGATTCTCCCACTTGTCCCAAAAAATATGAAAGCGCTTCACAGAAGTTAACACAAGCAACCCAGCAGAAATACAGAAGATGGGTTAAACTGAGTTGGTATTGGTACATCATTACCTACCCTAAAGTATATACTAGGCACAACTGTGGGGAAAGAGCTACAGGAAGCAACGTTGTGTATTTCCAGGCTTCTTCCTGCTTAACTCGCATGTAAAGCTCTGCATAGGATACAGGCCCCAGACTGAATGTCAAGGGTTCAAGCATCTTGCTAGAACTCCAACAATATCCTTCCCTCTTCTCATAGCCCCCAAAGAGCCGGACTGCTCCAGAAGGAATGTCCTTCGACCATGCTAATGGAGCTTTTTGTATCTGCTTTTGAGTAACAACAGCTTGTCTATGAAGTTAGTCATTCCTAAACTTCTTAAGAGTTCTAGCTCAGGTTACTACAAACAATCTCAACCTGGAATAAGATCCTGTAGGCGAGAAGTCACTGAGGAACAGCTATTCACTTTTGAATTCGTATCACCATAATCTAAATTAACATTCAGGTAGCTAAACTTTCTGTTGAGCCTGCTAGCTCAACAGTGTTCCAATAACCATAACAGGAAGGTCAAGCTCATCTCCTAAGTTATAATCATGTGAAAAATGAAAACACTTAAGTTAATTACATCTCCAGAAAGAATACCAATACTGGTACAAAAGCTAAAAAGTAGCATATTTGAAAGAGTCTCTCTTTTCAAAACAAAAGATGATCCAGAGATTTGGAGTACAGAAGCTTAGATGTTGAACACTGCTGCATGAAATTGTGCATCTGAGTTACCAATGCACCACCCAATGCTGGCCCAGTAACCAGAGAGCTGGCTCCTTAGGGTGAGGTTTCTCAACAGAGCCAAGCCAGCTCACCACAAACAAGAGAAGGTCCTGCACTACCTCCTCCTCCCCCCCTTTAGTTTAAAGCCATTCTCCTTTCCACACCCACGTTCCTTCTCACCACCCACTCACAGACACACAGCCTCGTCCCTTTGCACCGGCTCCCAGGCTCTTCCAGCCCCCCAAAATTGCTAACCCAACTAGAAAAGAGGTTGATTTCTTTTTCTTGTCAGGCTAGTTTTCTGACATTTTAGTGAGTTAGATTAGGTTATCATGAGATCAGGTGCCTAGAGCTAGCTCAAGATGCGCCATCACCATGTGCAGCTAAAAGCAAGGAAGAAGGACACAAGCCCATCTCCATTCGGCAGCAGCAAGCTGCTCATTTGACTCAGACTATAAAAATTCACACAAATTCAGTTTAAAATGATCTAAGTCAACATTGCCATGTTCCTGCCTGTCTTACCATTCTACCTGTTTGTGCCTTTTATTTGCACCAGGACTGTAAACTACTGGGTCTTACAACAAGCCAGCTCAGGGAGCTAAACGAGCAAGAAACTCATTAAATCGACTTAACTATCATAGCAGTGAAGCCTCGTATTATGCTTTAATCCGGCAACACTAGTGCTTTGGAACATTCAGGTCTGACAAGGACAACCAACATCAATTCTCCT